CTGGCTGCTCACCTGGAGTCTGGCAGTCTCAGCATCACCTGGATAGTGACTGGAGGCAGCTCGTCCCCAAAAATGGGATATTCCCAGCTGGGGAGGACCTGTGCTCCTCACACGGTGCCTGCACGTGCCCATCCTCTCTCCCAGATCCCCTGGGAGCTGCCAGCTTTGCTCCCAGGGGATGATGCAGCAGCGTGAAGGATCTCGTGGGGTTTTCTCCTTGAGCTGCTGGTGGCTTGGTGGGGCACGTTTGGGATCCGGGGGAGGTGATAACTGAGGCTGCTTCATGGCATGGGCGTTCTCAAGAGCGAGGAGCAGGAAATCCTAGAGGGATTCCCATGGATTGATGGCTGTGAGATGGTGAAGAATCTCCATTATTATTATTATTATTATTATTATTACTGTTATTAATCCCCATTCCCGCCTGCTGCTTTGCCGCGTCATGCCAAATGGAAAATGCAATAAAAATGCAATTTTCCCGGGGTGGGCAGTGCCATCCCACCTGGTTGCTCCCGCTGGAATTCCAGGGGCTCCTGAATCCCGGTGAGTCACCGGAGGAGGACAGCCAGGCGCCGGCGCTGGCTGTTTCCATAGTAATTCGGGCTGGAGAGACAATGCTGGAGCCCCACGGACCCCCCCCCCCGTGTCCCCAAAAAGCGCTGCCCGGGGGCTGCCGTCCCGCTCCATCCCGCTCCATCCCGCTCCATCCCACCGGGATGCTCCGGGCAGCCACGCCCGGGCCACGGGCGCTGCCAGCGGGGCTGCTCCCTCCCGCTGGATCGCCCCGTTTAGGGCGGGGATTTAGGGGTTCACCCTGAGAAAATGGCATTTTAGGCACTGGGACTTCTCCGAGGTTGTCCCTCCTGTGCCCGGAGCGGGATGGGAAAAACGGGATGGGAAAAGTGGGATGGGAAAAGTGGGATGTGTCCGTGTGTGTTCACAGCCAGCATGGAAGAGGGAGGATCGAGCTGAAGGATTCGGTTGGATTTTCAGGTTTTCGTTCTTTTCAGGCTCTTCTCTTGCTGTTCTCCCTCTCTGGGCTCAGCATCTTTGTGGGGAGGAGGGCTGAGAGCAAAGGCAGTGGGAATGAGACCCCATTCCATGGAAAAGGAGGTGGCTGCGTCCTGCTCCACTGAGCAAAGGATTTTTTTCTTCTTTTATTCCCTGCTCACCTCCAGCCCAGCCTCCCTCGTGCGTTTTTCCTTCTGGGTGCCTCATGTATGGTGCAAAGCCCCAAATCCACTCCTTTTAGAGCACAGGAGGGGCCTTGTCCACCCAAAATCCCCGGAGGGAATGGCCAGGGGGGCTCGGGGTGGCTCGGGGTGGCTGCAGGGACAGGGGCTGTGGAAGGACAGGGTCCAGCGGGATGGATTTGGCTCCATGGAGAAGCCAGGCTTGCTCCAAACCCCATCCAGAGGGGCTGGGATGGTGCTGCTGTGGGGTGGATGTTGGATCAGGCCAGTGGTTAATTAATGATGCCTTTGATTAGGGATGTGCCAAGGAATGGAGGTGCAGGGTGGGCAGGGAGGCAGCTGGAGGCAGGAGCAGGGAATGACAGGAGCAGGGAATCACTGGATAAGGGGATCAGGGAATCACAGGATCAGGGAATCACAGGATCAAAGAATCACAGGATCAGGGAATCGGGGGATCAGGAAATCACAGGATCAAGGAATTATAGGATATGGGGATCAGGGAATCACAGGATCAAAGAATCACAGGATCAGGGAATCAGGGGATCAGGAAATCACAGGATCAAGGAATTATAGGATTAGGGGCTCAGGGAATCAAAGGATCAAAGAATCACAGATCGGGGAATGACAGAATCAAGGGATCACAGATCAGGAAATGACAGAATTAAGGGATCACAGATCAGGGAATGCCAGGATCAGGGAATCACAGATCAGGGAATGACAGGATCACAGCTGGCTTGGCTTGGAAAGGATCTAAGAGACCATTTGGGATGGGCTGGGATGCAGCTGAGGCTGGACTCTAAAATCACTCATCTCCTGCACTTCATGTGGGAATGATGGACTCCAAGCACCAGGACCGGTGGGAATAAAAATCCCTGCTGAAATGACATTGGGCCAAGCCTTGAAAAAGCAGCACCTTGCAGCTGGGGCACCCTGGATAATTCCTGGGAAGCAGCTGCACCAGGACCTGCTTATCCTCCCAAACACAATTAATTTTCACCTTATCTCGTCCTTCCCTGCCTTTTCACTCAGCACTTTCCTTCCCCTCTGGTCTGTCATCATCACCCTCGTTAGAGCCCGGGTTAATTAGTTTATCCAAGGGAAGCTCTGGAGTTCTCTGCTGTCCTCATGCAGATTCCTGAGCTGCAGGTTGGTTATTCCAGGGGTGCTGCTGTGCTGCCAGAGGAGATAAAGCTCCTTTAGCTGAGCTGCTGGCTCACTTTAAGTGGTTTATCCTCCTCTTTGGGAAGGAAAGCTGCCTCTGCCCATCCCCTGATGCTCCCTAGGAACAGCTTTCCTGCCTGGAAAGGTCCTGGATGGGCACTGCAAGAGGGATCTGTGTGCCTTGGAGCTCATCAGGGATTCGTGCTCCTTCCCGGGTCACATGAAATGCCCCAAAAAGGGAAAAACCCTTGGCAGAGCACAGGGTATTCCAGCTCCTCGGTGTTCCCGGTGTCACGGGGCTGCTCAGCATCCCTCCTCCGGCCAGGGGGGACAAATCCCAGCCCCAAAGCTTGGCTGCTCCTGCTTCTCCTGTGCCTCCATCCCTGCAGGCAGAGCCAGCAGCTGCGGTGGGGACCGCGGGGACATCGGTGCCCTGGTGGGGACATCGGTGCCCTGGTGGGGACATCGGTGCCCTGTGCCACCACCGGTGAATTCCAGCACATTCCTGGAGTCAATCCGTGCTGAGCATCCTCCCTCTGCTCCTGCACCTCCTGCGGGGGAAGAGCCCCGGTGTTCCCAAGGTTGGCACCTCCGGGAGAAGGGTGGCACCGCGGGGGCGGGTTCATGTGCTAATTACGCTCATTAAGGTCATTAACGTCCGGCTGCTGTCGTGTCGCTTCAGGCTTAGAATGGTGGAATTGTTTAGGTTGGAAAAAGCCTCTAAAATCTTCCCAGCGCAGCCATTCCCACCCGTGTCCCCAAGTGCCACCATCCACATTCTCAATCCCTCCAGGGGTGGGCACTCCACCCTGGGCACAGCGTGCCAGTGCCTGAAATTCCTCTGAATTTTTTACCAATTCCCTTTTAACGATTTGCTTTTCCTGGTTCCTTTTCCAAGGAGCAGAGGTGGTGCTGAGGCAGGGAGAGCCACCCTGGTGGTGGCTCCCTGGGGACGGGCAGAGTGTCCCTGTGCATCCCAGAGCCTGCAGGGATGGGGAGGAGCTGTTTGCTCTCTTCTTCCCATCTGGGCTGTGTCCCAGGAGCTGGATTGGAGCTGAGGAGTGTTGGACCTGGTGCAGCATCCCCCTGGGATGGCACAGGGAGCGCTGCCAGGGGTCCAACAGGCACAGCCCGGGCTCTGATCCCTTAGGGGCAGTGCTGAAGGGATGCTGGGAGGATTCTTCAGGTTCCACTTGTCATGGAATCATCCCCTGAGCTGTAAGTTCTTATGCAGGAGCTGTGGGGTTGGAGGAGCTGTGCTTTGGGGTGGTTTTGGGTGCAAAAGCACCGAGCTGTCAGCTGACGTGAGATGCTCAGCACGGATTTCATTCCTCTTTGGTTTTGTTTTGAAGCAGGGAAGGGAGGGAAGGAGGATAAAGAAGGTGTTGGGAGTCAGGGGTGCCAGAAAAATGTCTTCACAACCCCGTTGTCACCAGGAGATACCGGGACAGTGCCGAGGGCTCTGCCTGTGACGTTGTTTTGTCTGCAGCCAAAGGGGCTCTGCACAGAAACCTTGGGAGTAACAGGTTTGGTCTGAGCCTCCTGAGGGCAGGAGAAATTCTTAGTGCCCAGAGGAGCCATGGAGCTGCTCCAAGGGCTGGAGCCGGGCTGGGAAAACTGGGAATATTCAGCTCCAGGGAGAGCTCAGAGCCCCTTGCAGGGCCTGGAGGGGCTCCAGGAGAGCTGGAGAGGGACTGGGGACAAGGGATGGAGGGACAGGACCCAGGGAATGGCTCCCACTGCCAGAGGGCAGGGATGGGTGGGAGATTGGGAAGGAATCTCTGCTCTCACCCATCACCCAGGGCAGGTCAGAGCTGTCCCATGGCTGTGGTGTGAGTCCCTGTGGGTCCAGGTGTCCCCAGGGTGCCCTGCAGGAACATGGCTGGGTCTTCTCCACGTTCCTTCTGAGGGACTTCCTGTCCCCCTCTCTGGTTCTGCAGCAGTTTGGGGTCCTCAGCTGGGACCATCACAACCTGCCTGAACCTCTTCTAATTCATCTCCAGGCCTGTGGCTGCTGCTGGAGCAGCTCTGATCCCACTTCAAAGGGCTCAAGCAGAGGTTCCCCACCTTGGGAAAAGCTGAACATGGACCAATCTTCCATGGTGGATTCCATGGATTTGTGTAGAACCTTGGGAAGGGACAAGAACCCGGTGGGGACAGAGCTCCTGTGTCACCATGGGACAGCTTTAGGGGTTGGGAAAGGCTTTGGGTTCAGTTCTTGCTGCATCCCTTGGATGTTTAAAATCCTGGAGACGTGGTGGTGTTCGTGTGGTGCTGGCAGGGCTGGCTCCATCAAAATCCCTTGCATTATTTAGCAGCTGATTTAATAGAATTGCTCAGCCTCACATCCTTGCTCAGGGGTTTGCATCTGCCTCTGGTGCTTCCCTCACTCCCCGCTTAATGCCAGTGCTGGGGGAAACTCTCCCTCTTCCTTCCTCCCTCCACCCCATGAATAAAAAACGGGGAAGAAAGGGGATAAAATGCTTATTTTAATGCAGTGAGCCAGGCTTTAGGAGAGGTATAAGCAGCAAATAAGGGCGAGGTGCTGATTATTATTTTTTAAGCCTAAAATCTAAGCCCTGTGTACGTGTTTCTATTAAATGGTGTAAAAGGCTGGTTTGGAATCCACGCTGCTCCTGCATCCTGCCTGGAACAAAGAGCAGCTGCTTCCAGTGACTTCAGAGCTCAGGAAAAAGACAGGAGCCCACCGAAACAGAATTTGCCCAGCAGCAGGTAGGCAGGGAAAGGTGTTTAACCCTGAGGGAGGCAGCTCGTGGAGCAGTGTGGTGATTGCAGAAGGATGAAACCTCTGGGGGTAGGCACGGGTGTGGGAACCCCGGCCTGGGTCAGGGGCTCTGTGTGGTGGAAAAGTCTCTCCTCCAACCCGAGCTTCCAAAGAAAAACTCTGCAGCCTCTTGTTGTCTGGTCTCAAGGCAGTTTATTGCAAGTTATTGAAAAGATTTTCTTCTGGGGCTGCTGTGGTTTGCTCAGAGCTCAGGCAGAGGCACACACACAGCCTGACATCCTCTCTGACTCCTTTTCTTCTTCCTCTTCTTCTTCCTCTTCTTCTTCATCATCTTCTTCTTCTTCTTCTTCCTCTTCTTCTTCTTCTTCTTCTTCTTCTTTGTCGTCTTTTTCTTCGTCATCTTCTTCTTGTTCTTCTTTGTCTTTGTCTTCTCCCCGCCCAGGGCTGCTGCTCTCTTTTATATGGTACATTACATCTTACATGTTCACAGTTTTTCCCCAATGCCTATTACCTATATTAAATGGTAATTTTCTACTCTAAACCAATCTGTGAGTGCCAACATCACCAAGAACATGGAGGTGAGGAAGAAGAAAGAGGAGGAACAGGACCAGCCAAAATTCCTCCATTTTAAAACCTCTGACCCCCATGTACAAAGTAAAAACCCCCTGTACAGGTGCTAAAAACCCCCCTGTACAATACTAAAAAATTCTCCCCTCTACTTTGTAACTACCTCTACTCTAATATCTAAACTTTTGTGACTTCTTGTTCCACCTCCAAAGTTGGTAACTCATCCCATGGCTCAAACCCAAAATCACAGCTGTTTGCAGCTGCCTGCCAGGGTCTCAAATGCTTCTGACCAGGGCCTGGAACCTCCAAAAATGTCTGAGGGACATCTTGAGTTCCGACACTCTGGCACAGCTGGAGCCCCACATTCACCTCCTCCCCTCAGACTGGGGGTACAGACACTTCCCCTCAGCTCGGAGGCTGCTGCTGTGATATTTAAAATTTGACAGACATTTTCGTGAACAAATTTAACTTCTTCAACCAGTGCAAGCTCACAGCTCCATCCCTTGTCCCAAGGCCAAGGCTGGCCTTGCTCAGGGCCACCCCAGGAGCTGCTCCACGGCTGCCTGGAGCGGGTGAGGACAGAGCAGTCGTGTTCCTCTGCTGGAAGAGGCTGGTTTGGAAATGCAACGTTAGCAGTGCCCCTTGGGTTTGTCCCATCCCCATGGAAGGCACGGACACCCCGGAGTCCAGGGTGGTGCCTCCAGGCTGATCCAGCAGTGCCAAAATCCAGGTTTAGGGGGGGCACACTCATCCCATGGCTCAAACCCAAAATCACAGCTGTTTCCAGCTGCCTGCCAGGGTCTCAAATTCTCCTGACCAGGGCCTGGAACCTCCTAAAATGTCTGAGGGACATTTTGAGTTCTGACCCATGGGGAAAAATGAAACACCTGAGGGGTGGGATGGGAGGGAATCCGGCTGTCCTGTGCTGTTCCATCCAGCCTTTGCAGACTTCCTGGGGCTTGGCATTTTTCCTCCTTTATTCTTTTTTTTGCCATTTAAGTGTGAAAACGCTGCCCAGGCTGTGCCAGGGCTGTGCCATCCCCACGGGGCAAAGCAGCGCCCTGGGCTCAGCAGGAAGCCTGGCAGGGATGCTCTGCCAGGATTTTTGGGAGGAACACAGGCTGCTCAAGGGGTTCTGTAGGGAAGGTGAAGGTGAGGTGCTGTGTGTGGAGGGTGGTGAGAGATGAGGGTGGGTGAGGACAGGCCAGGGAATGGGCTGGGAAAGGCTCTGAGGGAGCAGCTGGGCAGGGAAAAGCCAATTTTGCAGTTTTGCAGGAGCAGCGTGGTCAGGGAAAATGTAGGTGGGTCAGGCCTGGAGCAAAGGGAAGCTGCTGAGCACATGCCCCCCCCCCCCCCCCTTTTTTTTCCTCCTTTTTCACTTTTTTCCCCCCCTCTCTTTTTCCCTCTTTTTATTTATCTATTTCCCCCTGCTTTTGTACCTTTTGTACCTTTTTTTCCTCTTTTCTTCCTCTTTTTTCCTCTTTTTTTCCCCTGTTCTTTTTCCCTCTTTTTTCCCCTCTTCTTTTTCCCTCTTTTTTTCTTCCTCTTTCCTGTCCTTTTCCCCCCTTCCCCCCCTTTCCCCCTCCTCTTTTTTATCTTTTTTTCTCTTTCCCCTTTTTCCTCTTTTTTCCTCTTTTTTCTTCCTCTTTTTTTCCTCTTTTTTCTTCCTCTTTTTTTCCTCTTTTCCCCCTTTTCCTCCCTCTTTTTTCCCCCCCCTTTCCCCCTCAGAACCCTGCTAAACCCTCCCCTGTTCCATGTGGATCCCCCACCTGCACATTGGGATGTGGCCCTCAGCAGGTGCTTTCCTCACTTCAGGGATGTGAAACCCTCACAACCCCAAGACAGCAGAGTTCTACCCCACAACCCCCACCTAAACCCCACCAAACCCCCCAAAATTATCACAGAACCCCCAATTCCATGTGCTGCGGCCACCATTGGAGCAACTCTGAAGGCACCAGCTGTGAGAAACCTGGAAAAGAAATTCTGCTGCTGCTGCCTCAGGCTCCCTGCCCCAGTTCTGCCACGCTGGCCGTGCCCTCCTCTCCTCATTCCAGGTGCAATCCCTGCCTCCATGAGCAGGGCCTACTTTAGCCTGGAGTGCAGCAGGGCACAGGGGAGGGAGAGGCAGCAGCGGGGCAGGGAGTTCAAATTAATTGGGATAATGTGGGTCAGAGCAGCAGCACCCACAGCCTAATTCTGCCAACCCGCCCAAATAACCCGGTTTGAGCTCTGCCAGGGCTCCAGCCCTGCCTGCAGCCCTGCCCAGATCCCCACACGCATCCCTGTGTGCATTCCTGTGTGCATCCCTGCCGTGGGCAGGGTTTGAGAAGCCAGGTGTGTGCTGAGGAAGGCAGGAGCCTGAAATGGAAAATGTAAACCCCCTCCCTCTGTTGTAATTTTGAAATTGAGGGGCGCTCAGGCAAAGATATGGGAATAGGAATAGCATTTATTAGGGAAATTAAAAATACAAATGCAATAGTACAAAAAAACCAGAAAACAAAGCAGTGCCAGAGTGAGAGCAGCCCTGTCCCCTGAGGGTCAGGGAGTGGCTCAGCCCCATCCCAGGGGGGCTCAGCCCTCCTGCAGTGCCAGCTGTGCTTCTGCTGGAGCAGGATCTGCACAAGGGGGGAGTTTTCCTTGGAGCTCCAGGGCTGGGGGAGATGGGCCTGGGCTCCTCTGGGAATGCAG